TACGCCTTCCTCGTCATGGACCTCATCATCTCCGCCGACATCTCCATCGCCGGCCCGGATACGAAGATGACAAAGATTTGGATCATCCAAGACAGCACCTTCCGGAAGAAGTCCGGTGACGGAACCGGCGCTGGACCGAGTCGTGCCCGTGCCCCTGCCCCTGCCTCCGCTCCCGCCAAGGCGTCCTTACAGTCCATAGCCGATACTCTGATTGGCTAACCCTCACAGTAGACGGCATGGGGCAGTCAATCGAGCGGATGGACTGGACGCTGCAACGCCAACACCACGACATGACGGCGCTCTTTCGCGGCGTCAACTACGTCCCGCCGCCCTTTGACAGCACCTTCCTCGGCCAAAACTATGAAGGCGAGGACGAGGAGGATAACTCCTATGCACCATCCTCCTCCCCCGACGAGGCCGACTTTGAAGATGCGGTCGACGGCGATCCCATGGACGTCGAGGACGACGAGGATGACGACGAGGACGCCGATGCTTAGACTTCTCTTTTCTCTTCTTCCTATGATTGTAATTCTTATTTTTTTTCTTCCATTCCGTTGTATTCCGCATTTCCCTTTTTCATGAATAAAAGTTTACTTTTACAATTCTAAAGTTTACTTTTAATTCTTTTTGTTAATGTCAAAAGGGGGAAGATATTAAGGTTATGCATAAAGTAAGGGGGAATTTTTTTTGTAAAATAGCATCTATTAAGGGGGAACATCCTTTTCAAAATAATCCTCCTATGCATAACCTCGTCTCGTTTGCCATTATCAAAAAGGGGGAAATTGTTGAAACACGGGCTTGTCACGTTTTAGTACTAAAGCCGTGTTCGTTTTTGTAACAGGTTTTGATAATGCCAAACCGCCGTGATCAAGTCAAAGATTGAATATACAAGCCGAAGAATGAAGATAAGAGCAAGAGCTAAACGAAGACCTAGAACGAAGACCTTAATCATAGTATTGAGTCGGTCTTTTTTGTGATCAGGACCGACCCAATCTTTACACTTTGGCTCTTTAGGCTAAAAACTCTCATTGCATTTCATACATCATAAAAATGGTTTTAAACTTGTTTAAGTCATTAAAAAAAACGCTTGGTGTTCGCCCAAACCAAAAACCAAGCCATCCAGTGTTCGGCTTTCAGAAACCAGCGTTCGGCTTTCGGTTGTCGGGTTTGGTTTTTGGCATCCGAACCAACCAAGTGGTTTTCAGCATTTTATGATCTGCTTTCACTCTTTGGCATGTTTAAACGGTTCTCTAACAAAAACACCTTGAAAACCATCTCTCGCTTTTAGTCGTTTGACAAAAACCACGCAAAACGGCGTAAACTTGGCTAGCCGTGGTTTTTACTCAAATGACGTGATTTTTAAAGTGTCTCACTTGATTTCTTAGCCAAATACATCAAATAAGTATTTTAAACACTTAGTTTTTATCTTGGAGAACTTTGGATTTTTCGGTCGGTTTTTGCATCGGTTGGCTAGGCCGTGGTTAAGGCAAAAACCATAGGTTTTTGGCTAACCACCCACCCAGCGATGGGAAGATCTTCCCATCAATGGGTAAGCGGCTCCTCAGCCAAACTAATTTCAAGAACCATGCCAAACAGCGATGGGGAGTTCCACCCATCGCTGTTAGAGCCTCGGTGCAAAATTACCACAAGGCAGAACGACCTTGCCCAGCGATGGGAAGTCTATCCCATCGATGGGAACCCAGCGATGGTAAGGGTATACCATCGATGGGAAGGCATGACCGTTGGTGGTCATTAAAGGTTGATTCTTTCCTTGTTTGGAAGTCAACCTCCCACCCAGCGACGGGAAGCATGTACCCATCGATGGGTAGGTGACCGTTGACTTCAAAACTGAAGGAAAATTGGCTTACCAGCGATGGGTAAGTCCCAAACATCGATGGGAAGCCAATATTCTGCAGATCCCAAATCTTTTCAATCCCATAAATCAAGCTAATCACTCCTTTAATGCATTGGTCCGTTGGAGCCTAATTTTGCACTATAAAAAGGGGTGT